CTTCAACATACTAAATTATTTATTTTTTAAGCTCTACAAAACGGTTTGAAAAGAAATTGCAAAATTTTGTGTTTTTAGGGTCAAAAATGGGACAACCCCATTTTTACCCCATAAAACCCCCCATAAACCCCCGTTCCCATGGTTCGATTATGCTGGATTGCGAACTCGTTCGAATAGACATAGGTTTACATGTTTGTACCAAATTTCATCAAAATTGGATCATTTTTGCTCGAGTTATCATCGCGTTAACGGACACATGTGGGTGTCCATAAAAAACGTTTCAGGACTTTGGGAAATGAACCCCCATACTAAAAGGAAGAAAAAAGTTTATGGGAAGGTATGTCCGAAAATGCATATTTACCCAGATATCCACCACTTTGTTTTTTATTCAAAAGTATTTTTATCCTTGAAGTTTTTTATTCGATGATTATGAAATTAGGTAAACATGTTAACATACCTACACAAGACCTACAATAGAAAAAATAATAAAGTTGTTCCAATCGTAAATTTCAAAATGGCGGCCGTTTGAATTTTTCCAACTTAAATAACTAGAAAATGGCTAATTCTATGAAAAAATGACAAGAATACTTATTTTTAGCATTTTTAATTTCCTATCAAACGATACCAAGATCAAAATGATCGGACAAAAGATAGCTGAAATATAACGTTTTTTGTGTAAAAATAAGGCAAAAATGAAGGGGTTCCCCGACTAACTTTACCTTATTTTTATGGACACCCTGTACTGTATATATATATATATATATATATATATATATATATATATATATATATATATATGAATTTGAACGGGTTGTGTTTTTGGCCTCTAGGGACCTCAAAATGAAAAATGTAATCAGGTCCCGGGTCCATGAACACTACGGTAATAGCTTATTCCCTATATGGGAAATTCGCTAAAAGAGTTAATTTAAAATTCCCATGTTATTCTTATGTAGAAAATGAAAACTGTTGTAGTTTACTTGCTTATGGATATATTACAGTATGTTGATCAAATTTGGAATCTATCTTCTCTATATATTTAATGACAGTTGTAAGTCTGTTTTCTCAATAATTACTGGACCGATCCAAAAGATTTATATCTCAAATTAAAGGGGATAGTGCGTAGATTTGCCGAACTTCCTTAGATTTTACGTTTTTTCTAAGGGCTACGACCTACAGCCCTTTAAAGGTTGAGCCAATACGATTCTTATTAAAGAGTATAATACACAGTTTATAAATTATTTGTCAGCTGTTTAAGGTTTGCCAGACATTTGTTATTATTTTTATAACCTCACATTCAGTATGTAATACTTATAATCTAGGAATTGCTGTTTAAAAAAAAAACACGATTTGGAACAAAGAAAAGTGTATTTTTTTAACTTTTTATACCACAATGTATTACTTATAAATGTATTTGAACATTATTTGTAGCCTATGTTTTGGTGCAAATTTTGCATTTTCGAATAAAGTGTTAGTTTTCCTACGAAGTGATCTGAAGGAAAGTGGTAATTGAGTTTAAATTTGGGTATGGAATGAGAAAGAATACCCATAGTAGGCGACAGAAACTTATTGTTTCGATCAATAACATTTATTCTCTATTGCCACCGCCACCAGAACATCATAGGGAAATCCGCTTGCAAGTTGTAGCCTACAGAAAATTGTTAATGAGTGGGAAACATACAAACATTGTATTATAGGGGATGAATCTTACTCAAGGCCAGTGTTTGATGTTCAGCAGAGCCAAACTTTTTTTTCTAGAGATGAAAAATGAAATGAAATGAAATGAAATGAAATGAATGAAATGAAAAATTCTTTATTTTACCAGGCAAAGTTAGGGCCACATGGCCCTCTCTTACACTTAACCTGACAAACTTAAATATAAATAAATAAAAATACAATGACATTTCTTAATCTAATATAAAAATACATATTTAACACATCAAGTACAAGTTAAACAAAAATTCAATTTATTTAACTAATTAACTAATTAAAAAAAAAAATAGTAAATTATTATAAATTAATAAAATATACAAAAGAAAACACGTTCACACGCATACGCACCAGCAATCGCGCAAAGACGCAGAAGCCCTAGGACACGCCAGCCGAGACCATTTGCTCAAAGTAGAGATTTTTTAGTGCCGCCACAAACTGGGAACGTTTATCAAGGGATTTAATGTGTAGGGGTAGGCTGTTCCAAAGACGGCAAGCGGTAACAACAAAAGCCCTGTCATAAACGGTGGTCACATGATGAGGTATACGCAATGTGATCGAAGAAGAACGAGAAATTCGTGAACTACCCTGAGACACAAATTTAAAATCTGATGTAAAATATTTCGGGGAGCCTGATTTCAAAATTAAAAAGACTAATGACAAAATTTTGATGGATCTTTGATAATTTAGTTTCAAGATGTTTGCCTCAAGGTAGTATGGCGTGATATGCTCCTCACGCCGCAGACCATAGTCAAATCTCAAAGCGTAATTCTGAGACCGCTGGAGCATATCCGCCTGAATCACAGTCATGTCATTGATCAATGAGTTGCAGTAACTGAAGTGGGGTAGTACAAGTGATTTGATCAAATGAAGTTTTGTGTGTTGTGGCAAAAAGTTCTGCAATCTTTTCAGTGAATGTATGGAGGCAAAAACCTTTTTTTGTGTGTCCGTAACTGCTGTGTCCCAAGTAAGTGAAGACTGATGGTGAAGAAGAGATGGTGAGAACGCTGGATGGGCCTGACGTGGAACTACAATGTAGATTTTGTATTTTCAAAAAATGTGTTACTTTTCCTGCGAAGTGATCCAAAGGAAAGTGGTAATTGAGTTTAAGTTGGAGTATGGATCGGAACGTGAAATAATACCCATAGTTGGGGCGGAAACTGTTTGTTCCGATCAACATAATTTATTCTCTACGGCCACCAGAATAATCATAGGAAAATCAGCTTGCACGTTGTATAGAAAATTATTGCTAATGAGTGGGAAACATACAGCCATTTTAATATAGGGATCAATCTTACTCAAGATCAGTGTTTGACGTTTAGCAGTGCTAAACTTTACTTCTTAAGATGGTGAGTGCGTTGGATACGTCGAACTACAATGTAATGTAAAAGTTGTATTTTTGAAAAATGTGTTTGTTTTCCTGGTCGATCGTAATTGAGTTTACGTTTGAGTATGGATTGTGAAATAATACCCATAGTAGGGGACATAAACTGTTTGTTCCGATCAAAACAATTTATTCTCTACGGCCTCAAGGAGATCAATCATGGGGAAATTCGCTTGCAAGTTGTACAGATAATTGCTAATGAGTGAGAAACATACAAACATTTTATATTAGGTGATGAATCTTACTCAAGATCACTACTTTTTATCACTGTTCAGCAGTAACTTTAACTTCTAGAGATGGCGAGTACTCTGGATATGTGGAACTACAATTTATCAGTGAATTATACCCTATAACTATTTTTTCGAGTATACAGGGAAGTTGCTTGAGAAACTGTGACTTACGATTTCGGTTCTGGCGAAGAAGTATGTGACTTGATGTTTAATGTCAATGTTGACTCGGGTCATTACAGCGTTATAAAACTTAATTATACTTAATCATAATTCCCAGGATGTGAAAAATACAAAAAGAAAAAGAATAGGTGAAAAGTCATTAACTGTGCGTAAAGAGAAAACCAGGACAAACAAAACACGTGGAGATCCATAGAATAAAAAAAGTAAAAAGCAGTGATGGTGTTAAATGGGCTCTGGAAGTTCTTACAAAAAACATAGATTCTTTTGAATTGGGGTATTTAAATTGGATTTTTCACTACTGCAAATCTATGAATTTATGGGCAGAACAGACTAACAGGGACATAAATATATATTGTCACAAGGGGAAGGTAAAATTAGCTCCTTATCAACATTTTGAGTTCAAGGAAAATCTTATCAACGGGACTACATCAAATATGAATAAAGTATTAAGTATCAAAAGAAACAAAAAAAACTATTTGATAAATAAAAGATCATAGGCCTACAACTCTGCATTTGCAATGGTAAGTTTATAAGTCTCACATAGATGAATCAACATCATTCTGGAAGTCTATATAATTTTGAGATCTGGGACTCCTATTACCACCACGGATTGGACAGTTAATACCCTCTAAAATTGAACCAAAGTATGCTACAAACCAACTTTATGAATGCGACGTAAACAACAGCTGTTACTCACAGAATGAGTCAAAGATCCGGGAAATGCGACCAACTGCTGATGCGTGATTTAAGTGACTATTTTTATTCCACACAACGAGTGTAATGAACAAAAAAAAACAACGAATGTGGGAATATATATGAACAAATTATCTCCATAGCATAAGTAGCTTATTAGGTTAACAGCATTTTGCAGTTCGTACACTATTTATTTTTCAAACGAAACTGGAATTAATATAAAACATTCATTTGGTTAAACTATATATCGGTTAGATTAACATAAATAGTTTATACAGGCCAACTATCAGTTCTATGTCATGTAAAAAAAAAATCAAGCAGTCCCTAAATAAAACACAAAGATAAACAGTATTTGTTCATTATTATGTCTTTTATTGCTGACAATATTCCCGTGGCGGAGCACGGGCGGTTAACTAGTTTTATTTTTATTTCATCCCATAATATTAATGTTTGGTGAAAAAATAATTTTTCCTTCCCCTTGGCAGCAAACCTAAGCACCCCTTAATCTAATGTTATTTAAATTGGGAATAAATAGGCTATGTCTTATTCATGGTAATATTTTAGTGAAAATTTAATCAGACAAGTTGAAATTCGCTTAGTCTGCAGGTTTGCTGTGGCGGGTGTATTTTTGTTCATTGTGTTGGATTTATAGATTTAAACTTAATGAATTTTCTGATTTTGACAGTGTGACCTTAAATTTATACTAAGGCCTTTTAACAAATAATACTAGTGTCAACGGACAAAAACATTTAGATGTTAAATATTTACCCCCTGTGTGTGTTCCAAATTGATACTTTATGTTTCAGGTCTTACAAAACATGGTGGATGGTGTTTTCCACAGTGGTTATTTGTTCTTTTTTAAGCCGTTTCTACAAAGTAGATGAACCTGACCATGTTTGGTAAGTTTTTTTTACTCTTTAATTGTATTTAATATATTTTTATAGTAGGTAGGCCAACATTTATTCTCTTATACTTTCCCATCAGAACCATGTTGTGTCTTCATTGCATTAAACATGGAAATAATCTAAGGAAATAAAACACAAACCATCATTTGTTAGAAAAGACCTAAAGTTTTAATTTTAACCCTAGCAGTGGCCAACGAGCGTAATACGCTCGTTCGCCGTGACGCCTTAGAATGGCCACCAGCGTAATACGCTAGTATGGGCCGAAATATTTTTAACGGTGAAAAAACCGCTTATGTGAACAACTCTGATGTGAACAATATATATAGGCCTACCTATATACCATTCGAAAGATCACATTCTGAACTTTCATTTTATTATATAAACAAACCCTGTAGCAGGTATATAACAATGTCACGACGATTAGAAATCAAATTAATTTTTGGCGCGGCACGACTTTTGCAGCTGACTCTTGGGAACTGTCAAAACACGACTTGTTTGGCATTACCCTGCTCGGGTAATTTTCGTCTTGGGATGTTGTGGGTGGTACCACTGGATAGCCATTGATTTTATCTTCATTATGGTATTGATATTTAGAACAAAATATTGATTGCACAACAGGTATGATTTTATGAAAACAGCTGTTTTTCAAATTTATAACAAATGGCCAACCAGCGTAATACACTAGTTTGGAAAATACGAATTACATACAGTGTCAGTTATTATTACTAGTCATATAATATGTCATTTAGAAGAGGAAGAAATGTAGCTTGTGATAGTGGCAGCCCTGCGCTCAAGGTTATTTCCGTCTGCTCACACGAAGAAGATGAAAGTGCGTCACTACTGTCAAGGTCTCATACACAAAGTGCCTTGTATTCGCCAATGCGTGTTGTTGCCGATGAGTTTTCGCTCTCTTTTTATCCGCGATTTATTACTAAATTCATTATTATTTCGTATTGTTAGAGAAATGTGTGTGTGTATATAACAGTAATCTTCATGCATTTTACCATGCATGAATATTTACTGAATAGTGTGAAATTGTGTTTATAAAAGGTTGTATTTTTCTTGCGGTTGTATTTTGCGGTTTTCCGTTTATTATATTACTAGCTGTTGTAGGCCTACCCGTGCTTTGCAATGGGAAGAGAACTCAAAATAGAAACATTTTATCTTTACATCTGTTGATAAAATAGTTACACATAAGCCTTTTAAAAACAAAATTTAACCTTTATGGCCTACGAGTTGGGAACGTAGTTGTCCAAACCACGCGAACCGCCAAGTACCTTGGTGTCATCGTGGACAACAAGTTGAGCTGGAGGGACCAGATTTTACGTACGGCGGACAAGGCTGCTAGGAGTGTCGCTGCTCTTAGTAGGCTTATGGCCAATGTCGGTGGTCCCCGGTCCAGCCGTAGAAGACTACTGATGTCTGCAGTCCAGTCCGTGCTTCTCTACGGCTCTGAGGTGTGGGCAGACGCGCTTAACAAGGAGGCGTATAGGTTGAGGCTCGCACGAGTGCAGCGTCAGGCGGCACTCAGGGTCGCTTCCGTGTACCGTACGGTGTCCGAACCGGCCGTTTTGGTGATCGCTGGAGTTATCCCAGTCAAACTCTTGGCAGCGGAGAGGAAGGCAATCTACCAGAGACAAGGCTACATCGGAAAGGACGCTGCAAGAACAGAAGAGCGCTCCCGCACTTTTCAGATGTGGCAAGAAAGCTGGGAAAGGGAGACTCGAGGACGTTGGACTGCCAGACTCATCAGGCAGGTCCAACCGTGGGTAGAACGGCGGCACGGTGAGGTTGACTATTACCTCACGCAGTTCTTGTCAGGTCACGGCTATTTTCAGTCGTACCTGCACTTGATGGCCAAAACGAATTCACCTGACTGCATTTACTGCCCATGCATTCCCGACGATGCGGAACACACTTTTTTCCGCTGTCCACAATGGGATATGCTTCGCCAGGAGGCCATTCAACATCTTGGGGTGCTGTCGATTGAATCGATCTGTGAGACCTTGCTGAAGGGTGAGGACAACTGGGACTGCTGGTCGCACTTTGTCTGGAATGTCCTTCAAGCTAAAAAGAATGATCTAGATCGGAACATAGTCTAGATTTGATAAGAAATAAACGGCTAGACACGGCGTAAGCCCCTCGGGCGTAGGCAAACTCGGCCTAGTTCTGATGAAGGGCGACAAGTGTTCCCAGGCTAGTGTCCGAAGAGTAGGGGAGGTTTTTAGTGGGTAGTCTCTGGGCCTTAAGCCCGTTGGAGTCCCACACTACAGGCTAGCAACTTGTGTGCCTAAATACATTTTCCCACCTCTCCCTAAAAAAAAAAAAAAAAAATTATAAATTTTCAAAACTATATCTTTATAAATAACACCGGCATACTGCTTCAAATGAGTCTGTCAAACTTAACCCTCCGAGTGTTTTGTGTCAATTTTTCGACTGACAAACACTGTTTACGGCGAAGGCTCTATGACTGACAAAATCGGATTGAACTGGATCGAGTTAGGTATCGTTTTATTTGGCAGATTCTAAGCTTTCTCCCGAGGTCTGTCTCTAAGCGCTTTTTTTTCTCGAGCCGATCATAATTGTAGCAGACAGCTGACGTGCGTGTTTGTTAACAGCTTGGTTAACCTCGCACCGATGACTGATGTGTTTTATTACGTTTATCATTGTTTTAGTGTTAAAAATCTAAAGTAGTGATATACGTGGTGCATTATAAGAAGATTTAAGTGATTTTGAAGGGCTGGTTGATGATCCTAAAGAAGTAGGTAGTAATATTGATGTAAATTATCAGCCAGATTCCTAGCTATGGTTAGGCTACGCATTCTTAGCTAAACGCTATGTACTGAAATCTGTTTTTTGCCCATAACTTATTTATTTGCAAATCTACTTCCTTATATTATTATACATTTCTAATCCTCATAAAATTTAGAACAAAGTGGCTATTTTCAAATATTTATAGGCCTATAATTTATACAATTTCATTGAGCGCAAACTTATTTTTTTTTTTGAAAATTTTCCAAAATATTTTTTTTACCTAAAATTTTTGTTTTGAAACAAATGTTCCTTATGTTTTATGTATAATATTGAAGCCCATGATTTTCCAAACAAAATGGTATATAGAACAGTATAATTAACATTGTTTTTAAGCTTCTCAGATCCGTTTTAATAAAACCTTGCAAATGCGCAAAAAATAGGCAAACATTAACCCTCCGAGTGTTATTTGTCGATGCTTCGACACATAACACACTTTGTGTAGTGTTTTGTGTCGATGCATTGACTCACAAACACTGTTTACGGCGGAGGCTCTATGACTGACAAAATCGGATTGAACTGGATCGAGTTAGGTATCGTTTTATTTGGCAGATTCAGAGCTTTCTCCGGAGATCTGTCTCTAAGCGCTTTTCATTTTAGTTCCGAAAATATTGTAGCAGACAGCTGACGTGCGTATTTGGAAATAGCTTGGTTAACCTCGCACCAATGACTGATGTGTTTTATTACGTTTATCATTGTTTTAGTGTTAAAAATCAAAAGTAGTGATATTCGTGGTGCATTATAAGAAGATTTAAGTGATTTTGAAGGGCTGGTCGATGATTGTGAAGAAGTAGGTAGTGATATTGATGTAAATCATCAGCCAGATTCCTAGCTATGGTTAGGCTATGCATTCTTAGCTAAACGCTATGTACTGAAATCTGTTTTTTGCCCATAACTTATTTATTTGCAAATCTACTTCCTTATATTATTATATATTTGTAATCCTCATAAAATTTAGAACAAAGTGGCTGTATTCAAATATTTATAGGCCTATAATTTATACAATTTCATTGAGCGCAAACTTTTTTTTGAATTTTCCAAAATATTTTTTTTTACCTAAAAAATTTTTTGAAACAAATGTTTCCTTATGTTTTATGTATAATATTGAAGCCCATGATTTTCCAAACAAAATGGTATATAGAACAGTATAATTAACATTGTTTTCAAGCTTCTCAGATCCGTTTTATTTAATAAAACCTTGCAAATGAGCAAAAAATAGGCAGACATTAAGGCCAAAACAAGGGACACTCGGAGGGTTAAGGCCAAAACTAGGGACACTCGGAGGGTTAAGGCCAAAACTAGGGACACTCGGAGGGTTAAGGCCAAAACTAGGGACACTCGGAGGGTTAAGGCCAAAACTAGGGACACTCGGAGGGTTAACATTGCTCTTATGGGACTAAAATCCAATATGGCTACCACTGATGAAGACTCTTAATAAAGACTAGGAGAAACCCGTCGAAATCGACGGTTGGGGGCCTCTTCGTTTATATGGGCGTGCGGCTTCATTGGCAACAAATAATGCAAATGACATAGCAAAGTGGCATTTCCAAAAAGCAAAGAATACTTTAAATTGGCTGTTTCGTAAATATTGATGTTTAAATGCATTGTTAATCAACGCATCTTATAAAGAATGATGTGATCTAGTTTAAAAGGAATATGACCTTTCTGTCATGACAGTAACTGCTTGAATATAATTACTCTTTGTGCCATTTTTACAGCCAAAATGTCATGTTATTTTCAATAATCTTACCAACCTAGTGGGCCACGGTCCGTAATTTAGGCCACTGCAAATAATTTCTCAAAGATAGGTACCGGTACCATTCTAGGCAAGGTTTCTGTGTTTGGATGTTATTAGACTTGATAAGAGCTCAATGAACTTCTTCTACAGATAATTAATCTGTTGGGGAAATATAAGCCGAATTATAAATGCGAGTTTGGGCATTTTTTAACTGTATAACAAAGTTACATAGTATTTTTAGGCTGCTGCTCAGTCCACTTAAGAATATATTTTTTAGAGATAAATTAAATGGTTTTCGTTGCTGAGTAGCGATAGTTAACATGCAGAACCCTCTTCGCTAGCTTTGACTATTAATACAACAACTAGTCATTCCATTCCCATGTTAAAATTGTAGCCAGGTTTTTAATAAAATTTGTCTTAGTTGATGTGAGCCACCTACAGATTG